TTTCTCAAAATCACATAAAGCCATATTGTAACATCGACTGAAATAAATAATAAAATGAAATATTAAAATCATGATATATCTTGCTGCATTGCGCAAGTATGCTTCTAGTAATAAAAATAGATAATTATATAAACTTTTTATTTGATGTCATTTTAATTGTTTTGATGAAAACTTCAAATGATATATTTTGTTATAAAAAATAATTTATTCTATTATAATTTAATAAATTACATAAATTAATTAAAATAAACAATTCATCAGGGGTAAATTGGTCATTTTACTTGTTCTGTTCGGTTTGATCTTACCAAACGTTGAACAGTTGTTCTATTCTGTCTTGTTCTATCCTGTCATGCCCTATCTTGTCTGGACACCAAACACACCCAGAACATACACGTATCAATTCAGTTACTTATTTATTATATGTATAGATTTTGTTGAGCGGATCAAAATTATTGAAAAATGTTACTTCTTAATAAAACTATTAAAAGGTAAATAAACAACCACTCACTTCCATTACGTTATATTATATTTTGATGAAAGCTTTTTAAGTACCAACAAAAATACATTATATACCGCTGTTTCATGTAGATGTTATAAAAAACACTTAATTACAATACGATATGCATACAATGTAGTTATTAATGAATAGCTTATCTTCCTGACGCTTTTGACCCACAACCACCACCGAATTTGTGACGCGAATTTTACGATCCTCTCTTCTTCCTCTTCTATCTTTCACCCGATTTGAATTTTTCAAATATCGTATTTTGTTCCGCTCTCCCATTTAGGGATCTGAGATAAGAGTTCTTCTGAATTAAGAAATGTGCATAAAAATGGATCACATACAAATGATATATGCATTCATTGAACATCTGAGAGATGAACACAATACAAAATGGATACAATAAGATACGAAACCATATGAAATAACGAAAGAAATGGTATCATTCATAACCTATTTAAAGTCTGCAGAGATAATCTCTTTTTCTGGGTCAATTATCAACTTGAAGCAGACAACAAGTCGTTTTTTTAATTAACCTGGATATCCAACCCGTTATACGAGCTGACTAATCCCAGAACGACCACATGCTTTGCAGGTAGCCCAGAGTCACCGTATTTGAACCTCTATGGCCACAAGATGATTTTTGTTCCTCCTTGGATTTGAACCTGGAATCTCCGGACACTTTTGACCTTTGGAGCCCAAGCTCAAACCAATCAAGCACCACCTTTTTGTAATATATGCAGCCATCAACATAAGGACAAGTGGACAACAGCTTCAACATCTGAATAAGTTGAAACAGCTCAACCCCTGAATAGTAATCCAACAACATTCATCAACTCTTTGCATCTGAATGGACGTAAAATCTCAGCCACCCTCAGTCTTAATCACCAAGTTCAGAGCTTTATATGAAACCTCCCCCGCTGCCACCATGGTCTACTACAAAATAAGATCTCCAAAAATAATTTTAGTCGGCTATGTAAATGTAATTTACAAAGGTAAAACAAGAAATATATAAAAAGAAACCACAAGTGTGGTGCCTGATTGGTTTGATCTTGGCTCCAAAGGTCAAAAGTACCAAGAGGTATCCAAGAAGGAATAAAAATCCCCTTGTGGCCACGGAGATTCAAATGCGGTGACTCCGGACTATCTGCAAAGCAACGGGATTAGTCGGCTCGCATAGCAGATTGGATATCCAGGTTAATTAAAAAAATATACATATAAAAAAGGTGGCCCTTTCTCTCAATCTTTAAAACAATATCATCTTCTTTAAACCCTCACCATAATTGTTTTTTGAGCAATAAATGTGAACAGTTCTGAAACAAGTTCATGTCCAGCTCATTTAGATTCTATAAATTTTGTACAAGCAAATAAGGGTATGTCTGTTAGCAACTTAATGAGCTTAATGGGACTCACAGCTTATTCGGTCGGCTATACACCTATATGTGGCTGTTTGGTAGTGTGACTTAATGATATAGAAAGTGGCTTATTCAGTACGCTTCTAAGAGGAACTCTATGCAGACAACCAAGTTTTTTCAAATCTTCCCCTCCCAATTGAAAAACACGCTCCTTTCATCTATCATCTATGAAAACACCATCCCAAACAAAACCCTTCCCACTCTATACAAACAGTTTTATCTATACACGACTTAATGGAAAATCAAACAAACAAACAGCCCCGAATTGTCTATCAAGGTTTAGAAAGGGGTAATAAGAAATGAACTTCTACCATGTCTAGGGGTGTAAACGATGCGAGTCGAGCTTGAGTATCACTATACTCAACTCGAACTCGATGGTAATTTCTCAAACTCGACACGAAAACTAACGAGTAGTTAAAAAGAAAACTCGACTCGAACTCGATTTCAATTTCAATTTCAATTTTTTAAACTCGAACTCGTTTGAAGCTCAAACCAAGCTCGAACTCAAACCAAGCTCCAACTTTCTTAGCTCATATCAGATGACCATCATTCGAGCAATCACAACCATATAATTCTTTTTCATATTGCTCTTCTTTTTCCTTCACAGCAAATGTAAAAGTTGTGGTCAGAGATAGCACGGGACCTCTTCACTCCAATAAACCAATCTTTATATTTTAGGGGTTGTTCGAAACAAGTGTAAAAGTTGTGAATGGTGTCGGTTTTTTGGAACAAAATCAATAGTAGATGAAATCGAGAGAAAACAAACGACATTAGATCAAAACAAAGATGAAATCGAACAACAATAGATGAGAATGAGAGGAAAAGAATGACAGTAGATCAAACCAAAGATGAAATCGAGCAGAGAAGCAAGAAATACCAGCGATAGAGAGGAAATGGAGCAGGGGATCGAGCCAGCAGTAGTCACGAGATACCAGTGAGAGGCGTGCATCAAGCGATGAGGATGAAAGAGTTTGAAGGCCAATATAGGAATAAAATGGCCCCTGAATGATTGGGCTTACCCTAGATGCAAACCATTCAGTGTCTTTTGGAACGATTAAGAGGTGGAATTTTTTCGCCAAACATCTCCCACTGACCGAATCAAGATTTACCTCTTAATGGAACCATTAAGAGAAACACAAGCAGCCCCTTAGCTACAAGCAAATGTGATAAATCTTTTTCACGAATGGTGCTTCCTCTTCTTCAAACAACAAAAGCATGGATACTTCTCCTGCCTCCTCATATGGATACCTGAAAAATCACACACCAACCCATTTTCACATATAAAATCTTTCCTTCTTTTGTGTTTGTATGCAACAAGGGGATCAAGAAATGCATTATGGGATCACAGCTGCTCCATTAATGTCGGGATGCATATGTAGAATGCGTTCCAATTCGGCTGGTGGTACCAACATGCAGTGCATATGGAGATATAGAGTCTCAAACATTTTCCACAGATCTTGAGCTGATTGGAACCAGTAGCATCAAGTGCAACTGATGAATACATTGTTGCATTTACAGAAGACCTAAATGAAATAGTTGAATCCAAGTAAATTGATCACATGTTTAGAATCAGTTGCGATTGATATTTGATGGATATGCTCTTGTTTTATCCTGAGGATTTGTGTTGTTTATCACAAGGATTCAGTTTTAGTGGATATGTTCTTGTTTTCTTGGCCTAAGGATCAGCAGCCTCATTCATCTTTCTTGAATTCAGAAGGTATGCATTAAAATCACTCAACAGTTGATTGCAGACTAACCATAGTCGAACAATCAGATTGCAAATCCAATATAAGCCATTCATTCATATGTTAGGTTAATAGTTGGAAAATGTACCAGGATTTACGGTGATAATAGTATCCACCAAGTGCGACAAAACTGTTGAGTAGAGTTGAATCAAGTCTGCATCACCAATAATCTCCACAACTACAAGAACCTTCCTTAAAGTGATGAAATCTTTTGGCATCTCTGACGATGATTTCTCTATGGGCGAACTGAGAGATAAACTTGATAACATTATGGCAATCAACACAGACTCGCAAATTCTTCATCACCCTCAATACATCACCATCCGAGGTGCTTAGAATGCCAAAGGCTATTGCCAATCTTTCACTGTGACAAGATAACATCTCCTCCTTCACTTCCTCATTAACCTTTTCAAACACAACACCTGTTTCAGGAACATAACCTTCAGCTCTCATTTTTTCTTTTATATCCTTAAGATATCTGTAAATCTCTCTTGACCTTGGATGTGATTGATCAGACACAAGAAATGTGTGAATCTGCCCTGCAACTTCAATCGAGCTCCACCCAGGTGGTTTTTCCAACTTCCTGTCTTTCATAATTCGTCTCATTTTGACAACCTGGTCCCATTTCCCAGCAGTCGCATAGATGTTTGACATGAGCACATGCCATCCGGCATTAGTTGGATCCAAACTTAAAATCTCACCTACAACTCTTTCAGCCATCTCAACATTCTTATGAATCCTGCATGCATTTAACAGCCCACCCCATATCTTGGAATCAGGTTTTACAGCCATATCTCTCACAAGCTTTTCGGCTTCATTCAACTGGCCAGCCCTACCAAGCATGTCAACCATGCAACTATAATGCTCTAAGACAGGCTTTATACCAAACTCGTCAGACATTTTGTTGAAATAATACCACCCCTTCTCGACCATACCATTGTGACTAAAACCTGCCAAAACTCCAACAAATGTCACGGCATCAGGTCTTATCCCATCATTCAGCATACGAAGAAAAAGAGATTCCGAAAGATGGGCAAGACCATGCATTCCACAGCCACATATGGTTGCTGTCCAAGCAACAATATCTTTTTCTGGCATTCCTTCAAAGATACGTCGAGCCTCTTCTATGCTACCACATCTAGCATACATGTTAATCAACGCTGCACCCAAGTATATGTTGATCCCCATTTGGCTCCTTATTACTTGGTCATGGACCCATCTTCCTTGTTGCAAAGCACCCAAAGAGGCACACGACTGAAGTACACTAACCAGGGTCATTGAATCAGCCGTGATCCCCAACTTCTTCATTTCATTATAAAGGGACAAAGCATCATTGAACTTCTCATCCAGCACGAACCCTGCCATCAAAGCATTACAACTTGCAGTTTTCTTCACTGGCAAATCATTGAACAGTTGGCGTGCAAAACCTAGTTCGCCACACTTCCCATAAACATCAATAAGTGCAGTGGCAACAAACTCATTATACTCGCAGCCGAACAACAAAACATCATCATGAATCCTCCATGCATCTGAAACCGACTTCAACCCAGCACAAGCCGGCAACACAAACGTGAATGTGAATGCATTAGGAGTGTAGCCACTACGAACCATCTCATAGTAAAGATCGACTGATTCTCGGTAACAACCTTTCCTGGCATAGCATTTAATGGTTTCATTCCAAAGAAATAAAGGCGGGTTTCTAATGACGTTGACAACAAATCTTTCTCCAACATTTACGCAACCAAATTTGAGGTAAGTGTGAGCTACACGGGTCAACAGAAATACGTTGTGGGAGACTCGAGTCTTGAGAATCTGAGCATGAAGTTGACGAAGTTGATCAATAGAGACACATGTTTGGAGCCTGGAGATGTAGAAATTAAGTCCCTTGGGTGGCATCGTTGAGTAGCTTTAGTAGTAAAGCCATGGAAGCATTTTGAGAAAAATGTCTTCCAACAAGTCAAAAGGACATCACATGACAAAATTCTTACTCTTTACTAATTTCTGAATGCAAAAAATTTGAAATCCGAAATAAAAATAAGCCTAGAGAACAGTCCTTAAATTGTCTGATTGGATTTACTCTCTTTCACATCGGCTTTGAATCCCCTTGATTACCTGTTGTTAAAAAATTTGTGAAAAAAACAGTTAAGCACACAGATATATAACAAAGATGGAAATAATATTATTTTAGAAGTTTTATCTAGCTGCAAATGCTAACTAAGCTTGACAAGCAAATATGAAAAAGCTTTCGATAACAAACCGGATGAATCAAATAGACAGGACAACCAAGATGGAAAATCCCATACACTTGTGTATCATATCACACAATATAGATATAACAAATGTCAAACATATATTGCCACACGGGCATGTACACTAGAAAGGGACGGAGCCAAGAATGTATTCAGGGGGATCCTCTTTGCAACAAGGTCAAAAATAAGAGTTCGGTAAAAAGAGGGTTGAGATATTAATGGATTTCAGTCAAGATCTTAATCCACAAAGATCACTAACAAAAAAAAATCCAAAGTAACATTGCAGGTTCTTGCTTGTGAACACAATATTGTTCATGAACTTAGAATTTTAGCAGGCAGTTGATCTTCCGTTCAGAACAAACTCAAACTAACCCAAATTTTGAACGGTTGTAAACTTGATCCTTATGATTAAGAAGCTTCTTGGTGGGTTGCACCACCTTAGCTTAAGGTCTTTGTTACATCTAAAATTCACATTTTTATGTGTTGACACCATTTTAATAATTGAATGCATTGATAGAAAGATGGCATATAATACAGTAAAAATCCACAACTCTCAAACTCAACATTCAAAAAGAGGAAGACAAAACTTCAAGAATGAGAAAGTGTTGAAAATCATGTTGAACAAACAAACAGTGGGTTCCCTTAATTGAATTTAGTTCTTGGACTGTGAGTTCCTTCTCTGATTGTAACACCCTAGTTTCATATTGGTTAAATTACAATGTTTTAAGCCTTAAACACAAATATTATAAGCAATTTAAGTACTCTAAAAAGGTTCCAGCAGCTGTTGAATCTACTAAATCATCATTTTTTTCAAGGCAAGTAGTCTACAAGTAGCTTACAAGGCAAAGCATGAGAAATCAAACCTAAGGTGATGAGTTGTAAAGCCTAGAAGTGTGTTGGCAAGCTATGTGATGACTAAGCAAGTCTAGTAAGCATGACTAAGCAAGCTAGTGATGATTTGTAAAGGCTAAAAGCATGAGTTGGCAAGTCTATGTGATTACAAGGCAAGTATAAGAAGCATGACAAGGATATACGTAGAGTATGATGGTCAAGATTCTCTTCCTAGAAGCATGAGGTGTCAAGATTCTCTTATGCTCAAGTAGGAGGGGTAAAACTCTCATAAGAGTATATGTTTGAGAGCAAAAAGAACAAGTAGCTAATGCAATGAATTTACTATTAGCTCCATACCAAAAATAAAAAATCTCTCTCTTTATACATAATCAAGCTTGAAGAAAGGAATTAAGGGAAAAGCTAGGCATAATCAAGGCGAGTACTTATGAGATTTGCGAGGTACATACATGCTACATAAATGTATTTTATGCATTACAAGATATTTTTGGCATGTTTGCTTTACATAAAAATGTTATACAAGATTTGCATGATGACATGTTTTGATACAAGTATGTATTTTACACCAACGCATGAAAGTGTTTACATGTTATGATATAAGTATGTGTCACACAAGGCATGAAACTTTTTACATGTTATGTATGACCATAAATATCCAACGTACAGAATATTACAAGAAGGGACGTCTTGCAAACAGACCTTATCGGGAAGCCTTTATGGACTCGGGGGTTAGCAAACTTCAAGACAAGTATGGCATACTTACATGTTTCAAGTGAGATCTCAAAAGAACGTTTATGCATGATAGAAAGATTATTTTGTGCATGATCAAGAGTTTTAGTGAATTACTATTCACAAAAGGTTAAGCATCATGAAAATTGTTTATTCATGAAACCATAATTACTCACTAAGCTTTTAGCTTAAGTATCTCATGTATGTATCTCACGGAAGGATTAAAGAAGAATAGCATGAAGAAGTATTGTTCCAATCAATAGCAAATATTTGTTGTATTATAAGTTATTGAGTTACGTTTTCGCTAGTATTTGAACTTTGTTGTAATCATAAAGCTAAGTTTTATAAATAAAGTTAAATTTCAAGTTCATATACAAGACTTTCTAGTATCAATAAGAAGGTAACGACACCCGCAGTAAGAATTAGGGTATTACAAGTTGGTATCAGAGCATTAGTTTAAGTTAACTAAGATTGCCTTAGATTAGGTAACTTAGACATGATCTGAGGAGGACACATTGATTATTAGAACATTATGTCCAAAATAACTAACATATATCTGAACACCATCAAATTATTTCACTAATTTCTTATCCTGGTCGATATAACCATATGGGATGGTGTCTAGAAAGGTTGAACCGGCTAAGTTGTGGATTTGTAAATGGTCGCAGACTATATTTACACTGAACAGATCCTAGCTCCGCAAGATACCAGCCAGGCTATTTCATATTGCATTTTGGAAGTCAGATGGATTAGTAGTAAGAAGTGTTGATCTAATTAGAATATAAAAAATTGTGGTGTAAGAGAAATAGATTACAAACTCGCATAACCTCAAAACCTTAAGATTTAAGAATCTGTACTTTGATGGAATACTTCACTAAGAGTTTATACTTTGAGGAAAAATTTTAGCAAGGTTTCCTTCATTCTGTTGGAAAACGGTGATCAAATATCATCTAGTTAAGTAGTATATGGGATGACAATTAATGATATTAGCAAATTTAGTGGATTATTCTTAATTGTACTCAGTATTGTCCATATCATAGTAGCCATGTTTTGATATATAATATCATACTATGTTAGGAGTCGATATTATCGAAAGTAAATAATTCAGGTCAGACTTATTATAAAGGTATTATACAATGATACAAAACTATGACACAAAAACATGTTTGGAACTCGTATATGTTGTCATTTTTATTATCAAGAATGTCTAGAAGGAATGGTGGAACAACATTCAAAATTGAGGATGTCTTGAATGTGGCCATACAACCAAGTGTTTATGTAGGCCAAACCTTAGAATGGAGCCATAGGAGTTAATGTGGCGGCAAACCCAAGCCTTGACACACAACGCGTCCTAACGAAGCCATAATAAGTTATTTAGAACTATGTTACATATTATATTTTATATTTTTTGTGTATATATAACCATTTGCACAAAACAAGACGGTGAAGCCCCCGCACTCTCCACACCCCAATGAAGCCCCCCGATGGTGCATCCCCCCATCTGCTGCTACTCAAATTAAAGCTTCTTGTCATGTTAGTGTTTACCTTCTTTTTTGCTAAACAACCTTTTAACAAACTTAACAAACGGTCTTTGTTTAAATTTATAACTAACATAGTTATAATTATTTTAGTTATTTTAACCAAGTGCATCAGCTTAGCACAAAAAATAAAGCAAATTTCAAATAAAACACAATTTAAAATCATATCTCAAGAATCACAACAACCAAAAGAAAAATAGTGATGAATTCAAAGAGTTTAACCCTCCGATTGCTTTACATCATACCACCAAAAAGAATAACATCCCCAACAACCTTATGAGATCAGTTTACGACATCAATAAGTAGCAAAGATTTCTAACATTAATCATAAATGAAGGAAAATTTATCGTCAAGCAACATGATATTAGCGTCTACATACAGGAACTGCACCAGGCAGGTAGGTGACTAGTAGGAAGGCTAGTGTGGGATGATTAAACCATCCAATTGTGATTGTGAGTGAGAGAAAATAAGAAGCAATGGAGGTTTCAACAAGTCATATTAATGGCTGTCACGACGGAATTTGATCGAGATTCAGGTTCTTTTTTGTACAAGAATAATTGAATTATGAAATCAAACCCTAAGTACGGGAACCAAACTACGACTAGGTATTGCCACTCTTAAATGGCATACATGTAAGAGGGAGATGATCGGGGCAAGGAAGACGAGCTAACAAAGCAGAAAAGATGATTCACAGTGAAGCTGTAAGAAAAATGGGAGGGGATAAGTGGAATAAGTAACGAGGAAAACAACTATCCCAATTCTTACATTCGAAAAAGTAGCAACCTTCACATTTAAGCACATACGAAGGTGAAAACAAACTTCACATCTTACATTCGAAAAAGTAGCAACCTTGGAGGGAATATCAACCATAGACGGCTCAAGCCCTCAAGTTTTGCATCAAAATCAATAACTCAAAAACAGTAGAAGATCCATGTCAATGAGTGGGGAGGGCATAGGAGCACTCATCAAAAGGAAAATTGACTAATAGCCCCATTACAAAAGGTTAGCAACTCCAGTAAAACAGAATATCCTTCCTGAATATTGGAAGTTAGTTTAGGTTATACAAGCCATTTCTAAGAGAAGAAAAACACCACTCCGAAGCTAATGATTTGGAATTCTATTCAAACATACTGACACCAAAAGTGAAACAAGAAAGAGAATGCTAATTAAAGGAATCCCAACGGAAAATACCTAATCGGAGACCTCGCCGGAGAAAGGATGAGCACATGCCGATTAAAGAGGTTTCAAGAAGAGAAGAAGTCGAGATTTTGGGGCTGATAGAAATGAATGAAACCCCAGGAGAGAAAAGAATCTTTGTTGCTTTTACAAACACTTATCTATTAATTGTTTATGGAGAAAAATTTAACATTATTATTTACTTATAGGGTAAGATTTTTGTCCACAAAAACGATATGATGTGCAACAATTTACATGGTAAATGTTTACCGTAGTAAGAGTCGTCGTCCTCACTTACCGGGTAAGACTTTTGGTCTTTCGTTCTTACCAGGTAAGATTTTTTGTTCTTATCATATTCATCTGATGACGTAATATTACTTGGTAAGCTCTTACCCAAATAAAAGTTTGGTAAACCGCCCTAAATTCGTTTTAATTTTGAATCTTGTTTGGCAGGTCTCCACAATATATGATTGATTGGAGAAAGTTGTTTTTGTTTAGCATTTTCGTATGATTATGATTATGATGTCTTTTTATTTTTTTAAAATCATAATTAATATAAAAACATGAATGTCTCTGACTATCCGACCCTCCCCCTTCCTTGGCATCAGCATCGGCATCGGCATCCCCTCTCTGGTGACATCTCCTTCTCAAACCAACTCGCCATTTCCGACCACCTCTGTCCTGCGACAGTGAAACCCTCGAGCCCCCTCCCGCCGAGGGAACCTCGTTCCCTACCTCAAATTTGGTAGTCCTATAACTGGGATGTTTCTCTTATGTATGTTAAAAATGCTACTTTTCCCAGATTCGTCAATAGACATTGCTACCGGTTTTTGTAGAGGCTTTCAAGCCTCACGTGGATTATCATGTTTGGGTTTAACCCTCATGATGATTTGCCATATTTGGGTTCAACTATCGATTTAGAATTATCATATTTGATCTCCTCTTTGACATTTAATTATTGGTTCTTATCTCTAAATACTTTTACCGGTTTCTAAGCTTTCTTATTGATTTATTGGTATAATTATTGTCGAAGTATTTCAGTTATTTTGAGACTCTTCACTTTTTCGATTAACACTGAGAGTTTTGGGGTTTCCTCGATTCACACTCTTTGATTTTGAATTGAAATCACAAAATGACAAAATGGTGGGAACTACCGAGTTTGAATGTAATTTTTGAAAATTGAAATCTAGGCAAAAATTAAGGTACCCCACCCACCCAGTTACGGATGACAAAAAAAAACGAAACAGATGGTGAAAACCGAAAACCAAAACTTTAGGGTTGGGATCAGGGACATATTCGGGGATTTTAACGGGGACGAGGATCACCGGCCTGGCCCAATATGTGTGTGTGTATATATATATATATATTAATTTTAATTTATATACAAACACACACACACACTTGTAAAAGAAATATACCCTATATATATTATATCATTAAAAGAAAATACTAACATTAAAATCTAAAAGACTTTTATCCACTTTAATTCAACACCTCAAATAAAACTCATGAAAAAATCTAGTTTATTTGTCTAATTGAAAGCGTGATGTTAATTGTATGATGTTTGAATTTATGTTTACTTTTATATTGTAATCTAAGACATTGTTTGTAATTGTTTTGGTTATGTTTGAGACATTTAGACTTACATCTTTAAAAAAATTGTAATTTACTTTTGGTTGTGAAAATTAACATATCGTATTTTTTTCCCAGATCGGTTCGGGTATAACTAACGGTGAACGGGAAAGAGGGGATTTTTACCCTTCACGGGGATGTATGCATGTCAACAATACAATAAGACTCTTCAAAATCTCATAATTCGACAAGCTCTTTGATTTAAGGAATAATAAGACGACAACGTTTGAATACATAGTTTTATGATCGACTTAAGGGATAGGAAAAGGGGAAAAAATACAAACTTAACAAGGATTGTTTTTGAAAAACCAAACGGTTACGACGACGAAGTTAAACTGTTGCTAAGAACCGTCTTTAAACAATTCCACATTCAAATAGAGAAACCATTAACGCACAACCATTCTCCAACAAAGACCTTATCACAGTTCAGATTGGGATTGATGGTACTAAACGCGGTAGTCGTAAGGTGGAAGGCCTGTATGATACTGAAGCAGGTATCCCCAGCCTGTGTCCCGTAGATCTTGTTACACACTAATACTGGTTGCCTTTTTAAACCTGCTATACATCCAAGAATTTACGTATTAATTTAAAGATCGAAATATTAAAACGATAAACATACCACTGAAAAATGCTTCAAATGCTCGTACACTATTCATTGACATTTAAATTTCATCGTTGTAACTTACTTTTGTGAAAAGAGACTTTACTCTCTCCCACGGAGATAAGAAGAGCAAATGAAAGTAAGAGGATGCAACTTAAAAGCATGGAGGCTTTGTTGTATGCCATACTGATATATGTAAAGCAAACTCTGCAATTGTGATAGCAAAAACTACATCAGTATATAAATACAGAAAACTGAAATAAACATGACGAATGAACCAAAGATGAAAAAATTAAAAAAAAAGCCTCGTTATCATACAAAAAATAGACGTTCTGTTTGCATACTACATAGAATTAAACGATGATGATAGGTGTAGGTGTATTTACAATAAAATTGATATTATCGATTTCCAAAGCCTTAAATATACCTCAGTATTTAGTCTTTCCTTAATAATTACACTTATATCACTTAATATAATAATTCAGATTAGTTGGTGTTTTTCAGTTAATAAAATCGTCAGTGTTGGACACTGCGTGCTGTACAGTGACATAATTTCTTTTAGTTCCACATTTTATCACTTCTTTGATATACCTATCATCATTTGACAAGTTTTCATCCCTTCACCGACATGGAATAACAACTACCAACAACACAGTTCAAGATTTGAAAATACTGAATCTCATGACATCACGTCATCTATATGGATTTTCTTCTTTTATATATAACTACTGATATTGATTCTTATAAAATCATGGTGTTGCAAACATAAGGTCAGCCAAAATATATATATATCTTTCAAAACTACCCCTTTCTTCTTTATCATACACACTATCATAAAAAAAAAAAAAAAAAACTCTTATCAACCCCTTATATCTGATTCATTAAGAGGTAAAGTCATTCAGACTGTTTGTTTTTTTCAATTTCTCATAGACACTTATGTCTTATTTTCTTCTTATATGCTAAAAGGTAAACCAACATCTTATTTGCCTCTTATTGTTCTTGAAATCCTCAACAACGACGTTTCTCAATCCATTAACCTTAATCGATCCTTACCAAATCAATCCTGATCACCTCTCTCAGTTAGTGTATTTTAATAGGATGTAAAACAGCTAATGACATATTTTCGTTTAAGTGAATGTTAATTATATAATTTAGATGTAAATTTCATAATGGTGATTAATAAATATGTGAAATTGTATAAATATATCTATAAATTCAACATTATAATTTTTAGTGGGTAAAATAGATAATTTAAACAAATTCAGACGTTTATCAGTTTACAAAACAAACAATCTTATTGATTCAGATTTCAGACTTCAGTACCGCCTCTTATAAATCAGAAGTGAAATAAAATTTCAGACTTCAACATCTGTTAAATAATTTTGATTATGTAAAAAAGTAGGAACTATATTGTTTGCTAGCTTACTAAGAGAATACGATAAATAAAATAAAATGAAATTTAACCCATTTAAAAAAAAATTTGATTTATAAGCATTGTTATCTTATGCTTAATTTTTTGATTATGTAAAAGAGTAGGATTTTTTTTTAAAAAGTATATATTTAAATAATAATAATAATAATAATAATAATAATAATTAAAAAAATTCATTAATTACTATTTGGTTACTGTTCTAGTATAAACTGACTCTCTCAATCTATCTTGATATACATATATATATATATATATATAGAGAGAGAGAGAGAGAGAGAGAGAGAGAGAGAGACTTGGAATTACGTGAGATCAGTCTATTTTTGTGAGACCACTTTTTTACACTTGAAACTTCATAGCAAAACGTTGTTAGTAAAAAAGTTAATTATATATAAAAACTACTAATAGATTATATATGATCTTATGATGGATGTGATTCAATCCAAAATACATTAAAAAAGGAAATACAAAAGGAGACAACATTTGAGAACAAAGTTACTGATGGAATTAAACTTATGAAAGATAAAACACAATATCAGTAAGAATTATTTTTGAAAACCCAATTGTCAGCATGATAAAACTGATCTATTCTTTAATTTGAGTCACGACTCATTCTATGGAACCATCAATACACAACCATTCACCAACAAACACCTTGTTACAGTTCAAATTAGGATTAATGGCACCGAAGGAGGTAGCCGTGAGCTGGAACGCCTCGATGATACTTGAGCACGTGTCCCCAACTCGTGTTCCATAGATGGTATTACACACCAACGTCGATTGTTTCGCATGCCCTGTTACACCAAAAACCAAATTCATAAGAATTGCTTCAAATACGTATACAATATGCATGAATACATGAATGTACAATGCAAGGTGTTTGACATTCATTATGACAGAAATTTTCTGATGATGGAGATTACTGTTACCGAAGGTCATTTTACTTTCTCCTGAGCAGATAAGGAGAAGAAATGAAAGCAAGAGAACGAAGCTTGAGAATATGGACACTTTGTTGTATGCCATTTTCAAATCTTTTATTGAAGCTTTATTAAAGTTGTAAATACGATGAATTTAGACTTGAAATTAACTGAAACATATATAGATATAATGACGAAATAAAACCAAGGATAAGAAGATAAAAGGCATTGGTTACATAAAATGCTTGACGGCCTCATTGTAAACTATGTGGAACAATGATTGTATTTAAATCTGTACGGTATTCTTTGTCTGTTTAACATGTTTGTTTTTTTATATATAAAAATATAAATGATTTAATTTAAACAGAATGACCAAAATGGCTATCAAATCCTATATTTTGTGAACAAAATGCAACATTTTTAAATGTTGTAAATAATGTAATCTAATGAAATTTAATCATAATCGTAGATCATTTTTTTAAGGAGTATTTTCATTTTTATTTTTAAAAAAATGTAACTGTTCATCGTTTAATTGTGTGGTGT